TAGTAGTAGTAGTAGTAGTAGTAGTGGTAGTGGTAGTGGTAGTGGTAGTAGTAGTGGTAGTAGTAGTAGTGGTAGTACTAGTGGTAGTACTAGTGGTAGTAGTAGTGGTAGTGGTAGTGGTAGAGGTAGTGGTAGAGGTGGGGTGGGGGTGGTGGTGGTGGTAGTGGTAGTGTTTTCTGAATCATTTAAACTATTGAAAGTAGTTTTGAAGAAATTCAACCAATTGTGATTTTTTAAATAATAGATTATAGTTGTTTTACCTAAAATAAGTAGGAATAAAATGATTTCTCATTTTTTAACAATTCGAAAGTAATATAGAGTTAAAACCTAGAGTCTGTAAAAAGTAATGGTAAGCCTAAAATCGTGTAATATGATCAGGATATTTTAAAATCTAATACAAAAGCAATTTGAAATATAGGAAAAACCCGACCTAATCAACTAGAAATCTTGTAGAGAAAGTTTTTTAAAAGATAAGAATAGAACAATCCGGCAACAGTTGCTAGTCTCATGAACTAATACTTTTCGAGAATTGCTGCTCACTAGGGGGATTTCAACCACAAAATTCGCATCAGACGTTTTCCAAAAAAATTAACACGATGTTCGTTTCCGAAACTTCTCTCAATGAAACACTCAAAATAATCGGTAGACTAAAAACTAAATATTCGGTCAGTTTAGATGGAATATCCTGATTGTTTGTTAAAGACTTCTGCGCCCACCATTATACACCCGTTAACTCATATATTTGGTATATCCTTATACATATACTTTTTTCAAATATTTTTAAATCAGCTAAGATGGAGCGGCTTTTCAAGAAAAAGCAACAAAAATAAAATTCAAAATTATCGGCCACTTTCTCTTTCGTCAGTTTTTCAAAAATATTAGAGAGACTATTTTACGCACGAATGGGAACTTTTCTTAGTACGCGTTACGCGTTAGATTGCCAACATGGTTTTCGAAATTAAAAATCTACTGAAACACCCATATTTTCTTAAAGTGGTTGCCTCAGTCATAGATCAAGACGAAGCACCAATTAGAATATTTTTTAATCTCTCGAAAGCTTTTGACGTCGTTGATCATAACATTTTACTTTCAAAATTACCTACGTATGGAATTCATAGTATTGATCTAGATTGGATGTGTTCGTACTTTAAAAACCGTGTTCAAAAACGACGTAGTATTTATAATATTGTGTAACCAGATAATAGAAAACCGAAGTTTCAAAACAGGTTATGGGCCTAGACAGCGCGAAATGCTTCTGGTAATACTGTTTAAAATATTCTACTAAATATATTAAGAATCAAATATTCAGAATTCGCTACAAGTGATTCCAGAGCAAGAAGTATCATGGCATCAGAAGATACTGCAGAATTGAACAATGTGACAAGACTTAAGATCTCCGCCTCTTTCCAGCTTTCGGACTATGAGATACATATTGTGTGCAAAGAAAAGCAGGTATGGGAAGTTGTGCCTGATGCTAAACTGTTGGGTGAGTGTGGTAGTGATGAACATAAACAAAAAACCCGGCATACCGAGGATTCCAAGGCACAGTATTATATTGCAAAGACCATTGATAAACTGGTAAAAAAATCATGTCTTGACATGTTGCACTTCAAAAAAATGTATGACACCTTTAAAGCAATATATAGAAGAGATACCACCCAGCTTAAACAACAGTTGCTGATGGACTTCCATGGGTTCAAATTTTATAAAACCGAAGATATGATGAACATTAGTAATTTTCAAACTGAAACAATCTAAACAAGATATATCTGATGAAATGGTTATGGCAAAAATTATTTACTCCTTTCCAGAACAGTATAGATATTTTTCCAGTGCATGGGAATCAACTTCCACTTCAGACAAGATCATTGAAAATCTTGTGGCAAGACTTTGAAGAAGAGTAGGTCATTGAGTAATAAAGAAGAACCAAATGCTGCTTTTATCGCTCTAAAGAAGACTTCAAATCCAAATCACAAAAATTCCAAACCAAAGCCAAACATTAAGTGTAGTGAGGTAGGTCATATGAAGTCAAAGTGTTTTAAGAAGAAATATTGTAAGTCTTGTCAAAAGTCAATATATGAGTAAGTGCCATAGAAGAAGAGAAAGACTACCTGGTCAAGAATCAAACTTGGGATTTAGTAGACGAAAAATGTGCTGTAGGCAAAGAAATTGTGACAAGTCGATGGCTTTTTAGAGTCAAAGGAGCTGTAGATACAGCTCCGTTGTCCAAATAAATTCACTAAGAATACTGTTAGTAATTGCTGCCTCTGAAAACTTGAAAATAAGTACCTTTGATGTTAAATTTGCTTTTCTGTATGGCCATTTGGAAGCAGAAATTTACATGCGTCTGACAAATGATTTTGATGTTTATGGTAAAATTTGCAGATTGAGAAAGTTATTGTATTTTCTCAAACAGGCTACTCATCAATGCTTCAAACAACGTACAAAATTTCTGAAATCTAAAAGTCTTGTTCAACTACAAACAGCTCAATGTATATTCAAATCACAAAATTCTTACAATAAACATTTTATTGTAATTCATGTGGATGATGGAATCACTATTGGTGAAGATAGTATACATGTTCAAAAACTGCCCAAAAAAATGATTATGCATTTTGAAAGTGAATCATCTACCTAGTACTTATTTAGGTATGCAAATTTGTCAAAAATAAGATAGGGTATTCTTGAAGCAAGCAAGATATGCTGAACAACTCATAAATAAATAAATGGAAGCAGCTAAATCAGTGAGAACTGCTATAGCAAATCAAGGAAATTGTAATACAGACTAAACTTTTGTGACCAAATTTCCTTATCAAGAAACAGTTTGAAACCTGTATTTGTCAACCAATACCCGTCCAAATATCAGCTTTGCAGTTAATTATGCAAACAGGTATGCAAGACAACCTACGAACAGTATGTTGTAAATATTAAAAGGACTCTGAGGTATTTTAAGGGTTCTGTGAAAGATGGTATTCACTATTCACCTGACAATACACACTCACTTGATGTATATTGTGACTCTGACCATGATGGACATAGAAATGACAAGAAAAGCACTACTGGATATGTTACCTATTATGCCAATGGTTCAATAAGTATTAAGCATGGTATTCACGCATGCAAACTGTAGTTGCACAGTCTTCTACAGACGTTCAATATATAGCTGCTGCTCAGTGCTGTAAAGAAACTATGTCTAATCTGTCTTTGAAGAACTTTTGTTCAAGAAAATCATTGTCAATTTCCAAGGCTGGCTTAGGTGGTTATCATTGTCAATTTCCGGGCTGGCTTAGGTGACTCGCGATGACGTGTCGTGACGTGCTGTGTCGCCGAGCGGCAGCTGCTCCCAAACTCCCTCGGAGGGCGAAAGTGGCAGCCGTGGTCGTGCGGCGCTTCGTCACGCGAGGTGACCTAAGCGCATGCGTATCGCCACGCCTTCCACGGAGCGTATCTGCTCTCTAACCTGCGCGCTGCTTCTGCCGCAGAACCACTGTCAGGGACCTACCTTCCGCTCCACAACGACTCGCCGCCACGCCTGCGGCAACATCGCCGTCGGCTGATGCCACTGCCGCTGATGCCAACGGCGACGCCGGGTTCACGCTCGTTCGCCGCCAACAACGTCCTCCCCCCATCTCTGGGTGGTCTGGGGGAGCGGTGTTCTCCCTTTTGGAGGCGGTGCGGGGTGCGTGCGGCGACCCAGTCGCTCTGAAGCGTGCGCCAGCGAAACCGTGCTCCTTCGCACGTCGACGATGGAGGATTACACGGCCTTCCGTCTCCTTACTGCGAGAGAGGACGATAAAATACCATATTATTCGGTCGGGAATGCGCGGAAGCACGGGGTTATCATCCACGGCGTCCCACTATCTACGGACGCCCCGTCAGGAATCCCCGACCTCGCGCGGTACCCGCTTAATTTTCAAGCGGTTGACGAGCCAGGCCGCAGAGGACGGCCACTCCCGCTCGTCCTACTAACGCTGCCAGACGAGCCGAGTCGCCCTTCGGGAGCTTCGCAGGCTAAGGATCTCGGTGGAGCGGTATCAGCCGCCGAGAGGTCCCGTGCAGAGCAAGAACTGCCTTGACTTCGCTCATGTACAGCGGCACTGCGCACGCCACGCGCGCTGTGGCAAGTGCGGCGCTGCGCACTACATGGCGGCCTGTCCCCTCGGGGACAACCCGCCCATGGAGACGCGGCGCTGCGCTAATTGCAGCGCGGAACACCATCGCTGTAGGTACAGAGGTTGCCTCGTGTACCAGCGCCGTTGTTTCGGGGGCAACGAGGCGCAGAAGCGGCAAGAGAGGCGCCGCCAACCGGATCGGGTGCGCCAGGCCCACATCTATCGCCGTCGTGCTACAAGCGCGGAGAAGGCGTCGACGCGCTCGCCCTCACGGGAGAGAGCTGTGCCACGTCGCCAGTTGCGCACCTACGCGCACGCTGTGGCTGACGACGCCGGCGCCGCTCCAGCCGCAGCCACAGCCCCTTCCCGCCCTTCCCTAAATCCACGACCCGCGCCTTCCCGTCTGCATCGGGACAACTGCCCGCGGAGCTGCGGGGGAGTGTGCGGGAGATGGATTTCCTTCCAGCCAACACCACTGACTAGATCCGGTTCCTTAAACACGTCGCGGAGGATCTCGCCTTAAACGGCGTTAATCTTTTCAAACCCATTTGGACCATTACGTGCTCCATCACCGGTCACCCCGCGAACGAATGGCCGAAGTTGATGCTGCAAGCAGTCATGAGACTGCTATTCCTCCATGCGGAGGAGCACGCGGGACAGCTTCGCTCGTTGGGCGGGGAAACGGCTGTCACCAATCCCATCCCATCCCCTCCGCCCCGCGATGGCTGACAGCCTCACAAAATTATCTTCCAGCAGCTCTAGCTCGCTTCATGCGCGCCTTTTGGAACTGCAATAGTATCGTTTGCAACGGGTCGTAAGCACGAGGGCCCGAACCGTTAGCTCGGTGAAAGGATGTTGCAGGCAGAGGCATGCACGTTGCAGGGAGAGAAAGGCGGAGACGCAGACAGCGTGGCAGAGCCAAAAATATCCTTAGGGATTGCTTTAGTGTGAGTCTTGGGGAAGGCAATAATCTCCTAGGAAGCTAGTTGGTGAGTCCTCACTCGCCGACAGCAGGCGAGCCTAGCCTGGGAAACTTGTGTGGTGGGGGTGCATGCCCCAACTATTTAATGCGGCGCCATCTCCGCCCGCATTCTCATTCAGTTTGGATCTGAGAGCGGAGGACGAGTAGGTTAGGGGAGAGTAGGAGTGTGAAGAAATGTCCGGAGTGTAAGGGCCAAACATTCTAGGGTACTATAGGCACGCGGTCCGCCGGACGGCGACCGGTTTTTATTTTGGCGTCAGGCCATGTGATGGTATATTTAAGTCCTGATAAGGAAGTCCGACAGCGCACATCACGCGTCGCTTATCTGAAGTAAAACAGGGTTTCTGGGGAAGAAAGGTTGCCGGACATATCATTTTAAGCATTTCATGTAACTTGTTTTTAATTTATTAATATACTTCTAATATTATTTTTATTTGAACTTTTCTTATTCCACTACGTCACAGCAGGAACAAGCAGGCGGAGCTAACCGCATTCGCCGCAAAGCACAAAATGTCTATTTTCATGGTTGGCAAAACGCACCTGCAGCCAAAGCATCGCTTCTCTCTTCCTGGCTACGTTTGTTACAGATCTGACAGATCAGAACGCCTCCCGCATGGAAATCCGGGCGGCGTAACGGCAGTTGTAGTGCACCGCTACATTTCGCACCACGAATCAGTTTTGTCGCCTTTCAGTTCATCGAGGCCACGGCGATTACGACTCGGACAGAAAAGGGCCTGCTGCTCATCATCTCCGTCAATCTCCCGCCAGCGAGAAACGCATCACTAGAGCAGAGCGATCTCAACTCTCTTCTAGAGCCGCTCGCCCGCATCCCTACCCTCCTGGTGGGTGATTTCAAAGCGAAACACCCGTCTTGGAATTCCCACATCATATCACCCCGCGGCCGACAGTTGAAACTCTACGCGGAAACGCACGACTAAGAGGTGATAGATCCGATGCAACCGACTCATTTTCCTCCCAATGCGGGAGGACCGGATGTTTTAAACATCGCCGTCATTCAAGACCTTGGCGTTCCTATTCACCTCAGCACAGCTTGTGAGCTTTCCTCTGATCATCTACCAGTCATCGCCGAAATAGGGCGCGGCGACCTGCACCTGTCTATAGTACTTCCATCCATCTGCAAACGCATTAATTGGCCTCAAACGCGCTAATTGGTTTCCGAAAGAACTGGAGAAGCATCTCCCGGATACGGAGCCCATCACAGATCCGTAGCAGATCGAGACAGGAACAAAACAACTTACGGATGCTATTTCAGATAGCATGAGTGCGGCCGCTTTCGGCGGGCGAAACGAGCAGCGAACCTGAGAGCTGCCTTCGAGAATAATAGAGCTGATTCAGCGCAAACACAGTGCGAAAGGAATGGCAGCGCACGCGACATCCGGCAGATAACCTTGGTCTGAATCAGTTAAGGCGGCGTGTAGACGACGCCCTAACTGAACACAGAAACACGGAGTGGGGTAACCTAAAAAAGCTGACACCGGAGGATCGCACTTGGTGGCAACTAACGCAGCTATTACGAAGTCTTCTATTTCAGTCCCGCAACGTGAACGCGCAATGTGTACGCGACATCGTGGAGGCGAACGAGGAGAAAGCGTACCTTTTCGCCGATTTTTTCGAAACGCAATTCCAGCCGGTAGAGGAGCAGCCGCCTGCGGAGCACTCCGAAAGCGTGCATTGCACGGTCGCAGCGGCCCTGCACGCCCCCGCCGACGAGCCGGAGCTAACGGACATCCCAGAAGTAGCCGACGCAATCGCCGCCCTACGGCGCGAAAAGCGCCAGGGCCAGATGGGATTACAAATGACGTCCTTAAAAAGCTCCCGCGAAGTGCCGTAAATTACATTGTGTGCCTGTTTAACGCAATTTTCACTTTTCAGCTATTTCCGGCGCAATGGAAACACGCACGTGCTTAACTTTCCCAAATCAGGAGAGAATAAGAATTTACCACAGTCGTACAGACCTATCAGTCTCTTTAACGGTTCGCTCGGCAAACTCTTTGAGAAAATTCTCCATAAGAGATTTTAAATTTCACAGAAAAGAACCTTTTAATTAATCATAAATATTGGTTTCAGAGCGCAGCACAGCACCACGCAGCAACTAGTGCGCATAGTAGGCAGAATTCGGCGCAACTATAACAAGCGGCGTTTTCCTAGACGTAGCCAGCGCCTTCGATAAGGTTTGTCATGATGGCCTCCTCTCTAAATTCATCTCAGCCAACTACCCTTCCTACATCACACACCTTATTCACTCCTTCCTTGCGAACAGATCGTTTAAAGTGACGGTTCCGAACGCAAAATCCACCTCTCGCCGCATACGGGCGGGCATGCCTCAGGGAGCATCATCTCTCTAGTGCCTGTACGTGCGCGATATCCCAACTTCCACCCAGACCAAGCTCACCATATACACATGCGACACGGCAGTAATTGCCACATTCAGAAGAATCGTCCTGCTCGTTAAATATTTGGATCAACATTTGTTACAAATCCAGTAGTGGCTGCAGCGCTGGTGCGTCAAAGTCAACGTGGAAAAAGGCACGACAGTGCTCTTCACACGTAGGTACAAATACGACCAGCCGCGGCCGCTCACGCAATGCAATTCAAACATTGAATGGCGCGCTAGTACAAAGTACCTCGGTATCACGCTCGACCGCGCTTTAACATTCCGCGAGCACGCGGACGAGGTTTCAAGCAAAGCCTGGCATGTTGCGTAGCTTTTTACATAAGCGAAGCAAACTGTCCACAGCGAACAGCATTCTGATCTATAAACCCATGATGGACTACGGCTGGCCAAGTTGAGGGATAGCGGCGCACGCGCACGAATAAATTGCAAATAGTTCTAAATGCGTGCCTTCGTAGTATACTGTGCCACGTTACATTAGAATATCAGAGTTGCACTCAATATTAAATCTACAGTCCCTCGCAGAGCATTTTAAAAATGTATATGCTAATTTCTTCTCAAAAATAAACGCGTCAAATAATGATTTTTAAATAAAAATTTAACTTTGTACGATCCCGATCCCACGGCCACGTACAAGCGCCTGAGAGATATGCTGCAGTAGGCGAGACGCCAATACTTACATGAAAATTGCTGTAAACAACGCCAAAAGCGCGCCGAACGGCTTTTGTCTTTCCTGGCCTAGTTCTTTTACTCTCTTTTACAGATCAGCCATAGATGTACAAAAGGATAGGAATTGCTACATAGCGGGGAAGTGTGGCGGCATTGCACACTGCGACCACACTTAACTGTGCTGCAAACAGAAAGTATTTTACAGTCGGCACTCAATGTTATTCTGAAGCTCCTTATTTTCGTGGAGGGGAGGTCGACCTCCCACTCCGACGGAAGCAACGAATCAGAAAGAAGTATCCATTTCTGCCCCTCGCCAGCCAATAAGCGTCGGATGCGATCAACCAATTGAAATGGAGAGCAGACGTTACCCGGGACATTTGAAATTATTACTCGCGCAACTTGAAAAATGACCTTGATCCCCCTCCCTTGTGCAATAAACAGTTGAAGGCAAAAGCTCGCAGCGGGCACTGATGACAACCTTCCAACCATTAAAACTTCGTTGGCGCGAAACAGAAGCTAGTCAAAGCCAGTTGCTTTCATAGTTCAGATTTATTGTCAATATCGAAAGAAATGACTAGTCAGGTCCAGGTCCTTCAAGGGAGTCACCTAAAACTCCCGCAAAAGTTAAGCACAAGATGCAGTTTTGACTTTCATTTCACACACGTTGGCATTACTTAAAATACTCTAGTGGTCGACTTTGGAACTAATACCCCCACTCCACCTGAAATCGTCAATCCATCGTTCAAGAAAAGTTGCCCGAATAATACTTTTTCTAGCAATTTTTCAATATGACAGGCAATTAAAGAACAATCTATTTTACGTGGAATTAATGCGTAAGATAATGTAGAAGTCAGTAATTCTGAAAGGATTTATAATTGTGAGGTAGTTAAATAAATTGTAATGATGCAAGTGAAAATAAAAAAAGAAATCATATAAATAATTTTTATTTGAACACATCATATGCCACAGACCCCTGCAAAGATGCAAAGCTGCGGGTGCCACTCACCTATTACTGGCCCAACTTTTCTTCAATGCGCAACCTTGCTTCCCCCTCTCAGTCACAATAAACAATTGAAGGTAAAAGCTCGCAGCGAGCACTGATGACAACATTACTAACATCTTCTCTGGCGCGAAATAGAAACTATTTTCTGTTGAAGATCAGAACATCTGCCCGTGATTTTCTCCAAAAAAAATGTAAAGAAATTTCCGAAGCAGGTGAAGATCCATCACAGGAGATACCTTGAAATCCTAAGAAAGTTGCGAAGGCATGACCGATTGCCCAGAGGCATTGCTTCATAAAATCTAGTGGCCGATTTTGTAACTACAAACACCTACAAAAACAAATACATGGAGCAGTAAAACGCTCTGCTTGCGGCAAAACATTACACCGACACCGACCTTCGGCTTCACTGGAGGAGAAAAAAAGGAATTAAAAAAAATTACATAACACACTCAACAACATAAGTGAAGACATACTTACACACGCGGACAGCGAGTCAAGCAGGGCGGAGTATCGTCACGATATCGTGGTGGTGGTGATTGAGGTTATAAAATCTGTTGTGTGTATGAACTGTTCGTAATTCGTAGTTAAAATGCTATCTAGAAACTATGAAGCATGAATTTAAGCTCGATGAACAACTCGTAAGCTAACCTACAATTAACATAAATCAGTACGTTCTTGCCTTCATACTAGTCATATCATCAGTTGAGAAAATAATGATCTCGGTGTATGGTTCCTCGTATGCGAAAAAATGGCTATTATTGATGTGTACATAAATGTGTGTGATTGATTTGCGTGTTTATGTTTGCGGTCAGTCAAGCTATATCGAAATTACGATGGAACGAGCTAGGTGTTTATTCTTAAAAACCCATGTAATGAGGCTTTTCACTATTAGTAGCTCATATCAAAACACGTGTATCTGTGTTGCTAATCTGTTGCCAAAAAGAATGTCACCTTATACTTGTCTCTCTGTACCAAAATACCCTTCACTGTGTGAACAGTGGAGGGAATTTCATGTGTGTACAACTCATTGTGACAAGCCAGTGTGCAGTTCACCCAGTAGAAGATCAGTGAAGAGTGTAGCTGCATCAATTGTTGACAACACCCCCCTTTCAATCCAACCTTATATGAAACTTATGAGAATTGATCGGCCAATAGGTGAGTAAAATTAACACAGTTTACGAGAGAAATGAAAATGAGATAATGCTGAGATATGAAAAGCATTTTCTTATTATTACTCTGCATCGGAGTTCTTAATGATTTAAACAATTTAAAATATGATTTATCTATTATATTATTATGCTGAATCTTATATTGGTTTGACATTTATGTTTGTTTTCATTTAGTACCTGAGTATATATTTTTTATTGAATTATCTTCAAAAATTAGAAAGTAATTAAGATATCTAAATTTAAAGTGAAATTAAATTAGTGAGTTACTGTGAAAAACACCACTGACACAAAACATTACTTTAAGACAAAATTTTTATAAGATTTTTCACCCTTTTGTTATTAATTTCAAACTTGAGTGATCATTTATATGTATTCAAGTTTGCTCATATAATACTGGAATTTACATTCCTGCGTTACTTTTCAGAAAACCTCAATTTGATTTGAAATTACCAATATTACATTTCAATAAGCTTCAGTGATATTTTGATTGCAGTAATACTTTTAAGAAAAATTAAAAGATATTGAACTCTCTTAAGTTTGAAAATGATAACAAAAGGCTAGTCAATTTTTTGAAAATTTGTGTATGTAATTAATGCTGGTGATGGTTTCCAGGAAACCTCACTACCTTCATATGATAAGGAATGAATATGTTAAATAAAGATATTATATACGATAAATGTTTGTATTGTAATAAGTGAATAACTTGTAAGCTAATTAATTAGGACATTGTTCACAATATTCTCATTGTTTTGCAGGTTCATGGTTACTGTTTTGGCCATGTGGTTGGAGTATAGCAATGGCTGCGAGCAGTAATGCTTTTCTAGATTTTAAGAGTCTTGCACTTTGTGGATTTGGTGCTTTTATTATGCGAGGAGCTGGTTGTACCATCAATGATATGTGGGATAAAGATATTGATAGTAAAGTAAGAACATTTTTTATATTTAAGTATATTGTTATAAAATAATTGGCATTTTGTGTGATATTAACACTTGGATATTTAGGTTCCAAAAATTTAAAATTTAGTCCATCAAGCCATAGTTTAGTTTCTCATAAGTTTTAAAAGTCTTCAATTATGAAATTATATTTTTATGAAAAAACATAATTCAACTTGGCTTACAACTGCCTTACCTGCGTTGTTATTGTATTAACTGTAAACTATTTATTAATCTTTTAATTGATATTTATTTATGATATATATATATACTAAGAAAGCAAAGGAAAAAAATAATGTAAAGTAAAACACGGAACTATAAGCAATAAGTGCCTATTCTTCAATGGCCATAGTGTCTCGATTTCAATGATTACTTTATCTTAATAGTGAACTGTTGATGGAAATACGAGGTAATACTAACAAAATCATTTGTATACTTGTATTAACTATCCAGAAATATATATTTTTATTTTCAATTTAGAGGGGGGTGATACCAGCTCATGCTATGCCAGTGTATCCCACTTTCATTCAGGAGTCTTCTCTAGCAACTGGCTCAGTCTCCCTCCGACAAACTTCTGCCCATGTTAACTAACACTTAATCCCTCAATTGTCTCTTTTACCACGAATTCATAGAACTCAAACAAATGTATATTTTCATTTTGTAACAGTAATCTTACTATTCAGAAATGTAAAATTGATATTGAATGATTTGTCTCTAAATTGAATTTTGAATGTTTGTGTTGAATGTGAGAAGTTTGCTTGTTGAAATCTTCAATTGGAAGAGTTTCTTCGGATTACAGGTCGAGAATTCCTAACTCAAGTTTATGAATTTTTTATTCATCCCAGACATTCTAAAATGGGTTCATCTCCCTTCTTTGATAATGAAATACATGTTTCCCTTTGAGTGTTCCAAAAACTCTAAGGCACCTTCTGAAATTGATCATTCAGATATTCTCACGCTGTTCCAAGCTACTTATTTGGTTTACCTTTACGTACAAGAAGTTATGGATAATAATAAAAGTATTCCAGAAGAGTTTGTTTAATAAATTGCTGTAAAATAATGAATCTTGTAAACCTGTACTAAATTTAATTTATGCTTACAGGTAGCACGTACAAAGGACCGGCCTTTGGTCAGTGGTGCTGTGTCAATGAAAGATGCTTTAATTTTTTTATCAGGGCAACTGGGTTTAGGTCTCATTGTGTTATTACAATTCAATTGGTATACAATACTGCTGGGAGCCAGCTCAATGGGTGAGTAATAAATACAATATGTATTAGAGTGTTTTATTTTATAAAGCAAAAATTAAAATGTAAAATTTTTGCAGACCTTTCTTATGTCCAGTCTCAGTGATGTCACGGGTGCATATGTATTTCAGGAACATTGTATAATGTTTGGTGGTTGCAGGCTTTGATTAAATTTGTAAAAAGTAGGCAAAAAATACAATATTTGAATATTAATTACTTTTATTGTGAAAACTACAAATTGCAAACCTAATATAATATTAAAACTAGACATTAAGATTAATAGGTAGTATGATAGGCAAAACATGTATTATATTAACTTTGAATGAGGTAATCCCTTCTTTTGTTCACTTGGTTTCGATTTTTGTATGTTGCTCGACTACTCAACAAGAATTGTTTTGCTGTTCACCCCTGACCAATTCATTCGACTTTTTTGCCATCTTTGCCACTTTGCGTGATATACTCCCTAGGATACTGAAATTCAATGCGTTTTTAGACGAACCGGTGTGGGAGGGAGAGTTGTTATATCTTTGTAATCTTCTCTTGAAAGGCTTCTGCCTTTTAGGACATTTTGGATATAGTTAACCATTTTAACTCATTCTTCTAGAAAGACTGAAATGGTGCATCCAAAAAATCTGGATGTCAGGATCAGTTGATGGTATGTCATTACACATATTGTCAAGCTAATCACAAAAATGTGCATCCTAATTCCCTTTTAATTCTGATACATGCCCCGTGGATCAATATTTTTCCAATCCTGCAAATTTTGACACTCCCATGGGGGGAGATTTCAGTAGAATCAGAATATGAAAGCATGATGAAGCGAAAATGATTTGCTTTATTTGTGTTTTTCGATTTCTCTTTTCCTAGATTTTGGTGTTCTTTATACAGCTTCAGTATACTAGCACTGATATTCTCCTCTGCCTTAATAGGGATGTATAATTTCCTCCACATGTCTTGTAGTTTAGCACTGGTAGATTTAGAAGCTTCCAAATGTGTTTCTTTAATTTCTTTGTGATGGTAAATAAAAAGTAAAATTTCTTGTTCCTTTGAAGGGAGCCTCCTTAAAATCATCACTAGGCACCTTTCCTAGCAGCCAAAATTCCTCATTTGATTCCTAATTTATAGCTCAAATTATGTACAAAAGATGAAAGCAATTGTGATGAACCTGCCCGTCAGAATACTACAGTGACTTGTGCATACCGAATCTAGTGGAATCCCACAACCCCTAAATATTATGCAATCTTGTTGAAATTTGACATAATCGTATGAAACACGCTAATACATTTTCATTTCCATTCATGAATGGCACAAATTGCTTCCTTATTCTGTATGTCACCTTTTCGTAATCTGAATGAAAGAAAAGCAAATCCAAATACTGTATAACAGCCATTTCCAATTGTTGCATAAAAATGCACTTTATTGAAAAGTTACAAGCAATACTGTCTGTGAAACCAATGTACATTTATGCAAAAAAGAAACATGATAGACTTGATAATTTTTATTCAAATTCTAAGGAGAACTTGAAAAATTAAATTATATGAAATTTTTAGTTTTTGAACTGATGGATTTGGTAGAACATAACTTAAGTGAATTGATTCAACCTATACGATTAGTAAGAAATATATTTTACCTTTTCCCCATGTTGGTTTGAGTATAAAAGCTTTTCTCCATCGTGCTACAGTTCTTCGGCTTATTTTGATAATGTCTAAGTATGTGTCAATATTCATTGGATCTCTACGATTTTTACAATGATGAATCTTCCTTGTCCTCTTGCCTCTTCATGAAGGATTCCTTCTTCCTTCCTTTAAAATTAAATGGAACTGCTAGTCTATTATCACTTATGGGTTTCTGAAGTTATAAAACTGTGGTTTATTTAATTAAGTGACCTCAAAGTTACCTTTAACAATTCTAATTAAACATGAGTTTTAACCCAAGATTTTATCAGAATTTCAAAGGAATTCACTTTTTCTTCATATTATTCAAAGTCAACTTAATCAAATTACTCAGAATTTACCTAATAACTTTAAAGCAAAATATTAAAGACAACAGCAAATGTGATATTTTAAAAGTTTGTTCTTCAAAAATCTTGAAGTTTTCCTAATGTGTATTCACCGAAATTTTTGTTGCTTCTATATTGCGGCAGTTTTCCACACTTCCTGGGTATCTTTTAAGTATCACCATCATTTTTGTACTTATAACTTCCAATATACTAAAGGTGCAAATTCAGTTAAAAACTTTTTAAAGTTATTCAAATAAACATTAAAAGTAAGCCTCTTGATGAATCTAAATTAAAGAAGGAATAGCATAGAAATGAATTAATGTAATGCAAATGCAAATTTGTAGCAAAAATTTTAAAGTGTTCTCTTATCATTCTGTTCTCTTACTCCTTTAGGATTGGTGGTGCTCTATCCATTAATGAAACGAGTAATTCATTGGCCACAGCTGGTTCTAGGCATGACATTCAACTGGGGTGCCTTGCTCGGCTGGTCTGCTGTGCATGGATCATGTAACTGGACAGTGTGTGCTCCTTTATATGCTGCTGGTGTTAGCTGGACTATTATTTATGACACAATTTATGCTCATCAGGTTTGTGTGCAACTGATACATCATCTTTTTAAGATCTACATCTCATTTAATTCAGTTTTTAGTACATGTGCAACTGATAAATGTCTGTAATTTAGATATTACAGTTATAGATAATTTAAGTTTAAGTAATTAAATTTAAGTAATTAATTAATTATAGTCTTTCATCAAAGACATAAATTCTGTGATACTGAAGTATGAATAGTCATAAACTGTGAAATTTAGAGGAATTATTACATTTGTAACAGTGAAGTGGAAATCACAAGGCTAACTAACAATGATTGTGTCTCACCAGCCATTAAGCCTTATTTTCTCAAATATAGTTTCCCCCTCGCATATGAGCCCCTCTCAGGATGGTTTTAGGATGAAAAGTTTGGGCAACTTGGGTTTGTACTTTATGTATTATTTGTTGTAATTATGTTGTTTAAAAATTGCTAAGTCCGTGGAGTTTTCATTGTTAGTAGGTTCTAAAAGAATTGCAGCTGGAATGTGGAAAATATATCTTATCAATTTGTAATATTGTTTCAAAATTAAGACTTTTTTGGAAGATTATTGGCTTCATTTTGAGATACTGGTATATAAGCCACTCTTCCTCTCTCTCTCTCTCTCTCTCTTTTATTTTTTTTTTTCCTTCTAATTGCACAGGTCTACAAAAAACAATTTGTCACCTTTTTAGATCCAATTACTGATTTTATATATTTAAAGTGTAATAATTACAGAAATGACTTCCATTACATTGATTAACACAAAATAGAGAAATGAATTACAATTTACATTATATTATTTTTTTTATATCAGAGGTAAGAAAATTAAACACATTAACTTAAGGCCATTACTGTTACACTTTGCTGTTTGTTGCTGTTGAAATCACTGTTTGTTTTCATGTCTTTGAGCAGTCAATAGAACCATTGTGGCTTCGACAAAACTCATCTTGTTCCACTTGTTCTCTGTAGTAGGATCATACCGTTGCAGTAACCACGTCAGTCATCATAAATGTATGCCATTGCCCTTGGTAGCGTCTTTCAATGTCTTTAATATCTTGGTTAAACCTGCTACCCAATTTGTCACTCACTCGTCTGAGGGTTTCTGGAAAGCAGTCTAAATGGGAGTGAAAGAAATGCACTTTCAGACTCATGTTACATCCTTAGACTTCATATTTTTTTCAGCATATTATTTGCATAATTCACATAGTTTGGATCTTCACAATTTCCCAAGAACTTATGAACTACTTTGAAGCCAATCCAAGCTCCCTTTCTGCAGGTGTCATACATGCTTCAAAATGTTCATCTTTAGCTAGTTCTCTGATCTGCGACCATACAAAGATACTTCTTTAACTTTTCCTTCTGAGATGGGGGGAAATTTGTTGGTTGGGTAGTTAAATGAACTTCCATTCTTATCCAGTGTCTTCGAAAATTACTTCCTTAATCTCAATTTAAGGGAGGTAACAGAATTTTATCAGGATCTACTAAGCTGTTTTTTATAATGTTATTGGAACCTTGAATCAGTGTTTCTTCTAGGTCATTCTTATGTTGTCCAATGATTCTTTCTATCTTGGCTGTCCCATTCACAAATATGACATGGATACTTGCACAAAACCTTTAAATCACCGCAGATCATCCGTTTATATTCCTCACAATTTACCTTTCCCAATAGCAATTTAAAATTGTTATATGTCTCCTTAAGATGGACAGAAAATGCGATTGTACAGATGCTAAACTGTTACCAATCTGTAGCAATATCTCTTTTAAACGTCATTTGCTTGAATCATTGAAAAGCCTCCATCCATTTTATATTCTTCTCCTAACTTATTTATGAGGTTTGGAATGTGAGTGCAATATATTAAGGAGTTCTCCTGATTAAAAAACTGAACTAAGTCTTTCTCTCTATGTTGTAAATTGTAACATACGATCCTGATGCTTGAAGATTGTTTTCTTTTAGACTTGAAACTAAAACTTCAGAAGCATCCTTTGAAAGATTTAAGTCTCTGACCATATTGTTCGGTTCTATTTGTGTTAAAGGTTTGGGTTTGTGTTCAGTGCTTGTCCAATCAGATTCTTCAGCTGACTCACCTGGTGTTGAACTTGAATCAGAATGCAGAACACTGAGGTTCAAGTATAGGAACTTCGGTGCCATGTGGTACAAGCCTTCTAGAAGACTCCAAATAAGGGTGAACCATTCCTTGCCTCTTCTTGTATTGAATCCTTTTACTTTGCAAATACAAAAGTAACAATTGTTTAGATGGTTCTTTGGCTCGTGCCACACCATAAGAACTCCCAAACTCAGTGCCATGCTCGTCCCCTTCACCCAGTTTCTTAACTCCACAACACAAACACTGCACACTTTATGAGGGGCCCATGGCTTATCCTGATCCCCTATTTCATTCCAAAATAAGTGTTATAAACACTTCTAACAAATGAGGTTATATTCTGACTGTTTTACAATCATAACAAATTGACAAATATAATAAAATGTATGTAGGTTATTTACACACTTTTTTGTGTAGTTTTATCACAACAAATATTTAAACAAACAAACTAGTTCCTTGAAACACTCTACTTAAGATGCATTGGAATATCTTAGTCAACACTGGTTGAATTAACTTTTACACAGTGTCCACTATAATAAGCATGGAGCTTTGTATACATTTATTCATTGGACTCTGAATATAATACTGTAACATGCTGCCATCTGACTGTGTTCTGTTAAAAAATGAACTGATATAATCAACTGACTATTCCAAATATATATTTGTGTTTCTAACTCATTGAAGATAATGTGTACATTTTTACTATCTTTTTGGTAAAAATTACTGAAATTAATGAATATTGTGAAGTAATAGAACAAAAGTAAGGACATTACTGGTGACTAACTTACGTATAAAATGTGTCAAAATCAAAAAAGCTGACCTGTGTTGTTTGGGGTGGGGTGGGGAGGGAGGCTTATATCCAAGAAACTATGATATACATTTATATTTTATTTTATACTTTTATTAGTGTGGTCTCAAGAGTTTTGCTACATAAGTCTTCATTTCCTATTTTTCTAAAATAATATCAGTTTTCTTCAAAGCAGGGCATGAAGGCAACTGTTGCTTTGATGTTTTGTATTTTATACTTAAATTTTTATTTTTGGAAATTTTAATATTTTATATTTGGAAATTATTTTGAACTGGTGTAGTAGTATTAAGGACAATTTTCTTATTCCTGTTATTTTATATAGTATTTTGTATATTTTATATAGTTTGAATATTTATTTATTATATACGTTTGTTTCCTTTTGTTCTTTCTATTATATTATTTTAATTACCACACTATGTTTCCACTTATAATACAGTAAAACCTGTGTAAGGTGGAAACCTGCCTTCACCAGAAAAAATCACAAAACAGGCTATTTTCTGATGCAAAGTACACTGGAAAGACCAGAATCCTGCTTAACGTGGAAACGGAAAGGAATTTTTAGTATGACGTTTTTTAACATTCTGGATAAGACAGCATTCTTGTAATACATGCTTTGGGTTCAGTGGTTCTAAAAATTTTACTGTTGCTCAGTTTGATGAGTTGCATTGAAAACCTTAACTCTTAACTAATTGAAAAACATGAACAAAGCAACACTTATGTCAAGGTTTTGATAAAGAAATTTAAAGTTGGGAAAACTCAAGTGTATGACACCTTAAAAACAAAGAAAACATCAATAATGAGTTGTTAAAAGAATTTTTTATAGTATATAGTTTAGTATTTTTTATAGTATAAGATTGGTGCTACAATATTCATGAGGACCTAGGGAATAGCAGGTGTCTAAATTATCAGAGTTCATCTGTTACTACTAATATTGCAGAAAATAATACCACTTTTTATGGCGTTCTTTAACTTTAGGCATTAGACTTCATGTTGCATTCCTGCATATCATTAACGTTGTCTCTCCTGGGACGTTTTCATTTCTTTGGAATGTAGTTTATAGATGAGATAACTACTCACACAACCTATTCCTTTTGTGTGTGTGTGTGGGGGGGGTGTTTTTTGAATTGATAGTTTTTACTGAAAATCTGAATAAGCCGAAAACCTGTTCAAGATGGAAGAAAAAGTTAGACTCCTAACAATTCTGGCTTAGACAGATTTTACTGCATTATCAATGTAAATGTGGACTGATAAGCCTGAAAACTTGGAATAAATAAATAAACAGTCATATGAGGAATTAAACAAGGAAAATTTTCCCATTGTTCTTACTTCATATTTTGCCAATACATAGAAACAAGGAAATGAAAACAGCATCTATAGTACAACTTATTTAGTTGTGCACTTGACGTAAATCAGCTGTTGCTATTTCATCCAATGCTGTTACAGTGATATCACTGTGGGAACGTTCAAGCTCCCATTGGGATGAAATCATGAACAGCTGATTTACGGCAAGTGCCCAGTTAAATACATCTTGGAATTGTGTTGTGTTTTGCAAATTTCTGGAAGAATCTGTTCAAGGTATTTCATGTCTCCTGTCTTTTTCAATTTTAAATGTAAACATTTTGTAAAAAGATTTTTAATGTGTGTCTTTGAAGCACAAAATCATAAATTCATTTCAATGTTTTTTATAAATTATATTTTGACTGTTCAAAGAATTAACTGTCCTGGCCAGGAATCGAACCCAGAACTCCTGGTATATGCTAAGTTGTCCAAATGTTTTTAGTTAATATGATTTTTGTAAGTCATTCAATGTAAGACTTACATGCTGCTATGCCTTCCATCCATTTTCTTAGTGTTTAACATTTGAAAGTCTCGTAGTATGCTGTCGTACACAGTGACATATACAACAGCAAACTGCAGCAGCTTCTCCAATGAGGTAGGCCTTCATTGTTGCCACTAAGTGAGATTGAACAATGGGATAGAGCAGTATTTGCTTTGCAATGGGGTTTGAGCATCATACAGTGACCAGTAATGCTGCCTGCCTCAAAGCAAGTTGTCAAACACAAAGAAGGTGGGTACTGGGTGTAGTGCACATATTTTTTAGGCTAATATTTTAATTGTTGTTTCCAGTAAAATTCCTTTGTTAAATATATCACAGTACCGTTCAGTATAACAATTTCAATCATAAAACAGTGCAGCACTAAATGAGGACTAAATATACTAATTGAATTTGTTAATTAACTACCTTTATTTCTTCAGTTCCCTTTAACCCTAAAGTAATGATGAAGTTGATGTATAACAGTTGAGAATGAACATTCACAAGTTGCAGTAGGTAGAAAGAGGAAGATACTTTTCTTTAAATAAGCATGAATTGGCTTCTCAGACCATAGTTTACCATACAGATAGCATTGATACTTGGGTGACAATTTTATTAATAAGCTTTGTTACCCTTTGAAGCAGCTGTGAATAATATGATTTCATCTCCATTAAAAATTATTTCAATTGAATTTTATGAGATGATATTCAAATCATGAGGCTAAGTTTTGTCATTTCAATTTAGCTATCAACGCTTCAAAAATTATAGTAGAATTTGTAGGAATGTTGCCATCCTTTTTAAAAGAAGTTTCCAGTATTTAAGAAAATAAAATGACCTGCACCATGATCACATCCATGACCACGACCAATCTGTGGTGCCTTTACAGAATACAAAGGATGATTGTGAATATATCCTTTCGTGATCTCCTTCCTTTTTACTTTATTTCTTTCTTCTTTTCTCTCATGATCCACTCACTTTTCCTCATTTATTTGTTTTGTTGACTATATCTCAGAGTGACAATTTTTTTTAAATTTTCGTAGCCCTTGTATGCCTTCTCTGAGAAGTGGTCTGAATGATTTGTTTCCTTCTCCTTTCTTTCCTATGATGCCAGCCATGAGGCTTAATCCCTCATCGTTTTGGCTCTCCTCGACCTGTGAGCCATATATGTGCTGCAAGCCAACAAACCACATAAAGCATCTGCAATGATAATGGCTGTTCATGAAGGGGGAAGAAAGAGATAGAGAGGAAAAAAAGGTAAGGGGAGAAAGATTAGAAGAGCAGAATTGAGGGGGGAAAAGAAAGGAATAATCTTGGTTGATGTATCATTTTTTGCATCTTCTAATAATATATTTTAATACTTGAGTTAATCTCTAACAAGTTTTTTGAATTAGAATAAAATAAATTATTTTACAGATCATGAATATTAGATTGAAATCTTAAAATGGATATTTGATTTCTGAAAAGAAAGAACTTTTTGCTTTGCAGTGTATATTGCAGTGAAGTAGGAAAAGGAGTTGGACATTGCTATGAGGGGGATACATTGCTAGGATTTGTAGCTATGTAAATTCCCTGAGAGGATTGCTGAATGTTAATGATTACAATAGAGATATTAGCAGTTTTCAAATTGAATACTTTTTAAATAAAAAGTTAACTACTTGCCTTGTCTTGAATTTTTTTATATTGAAGTTAGGATGATCATTTCTTTCATACAATTTAATCAGATGTTACCTACCTTCTACTATATTTGAATGTAATATGTATCAGGAACAAAATGATGTGGCTGTATCTATAGTGGGGGGAGGGAATCTCAACTCTAGATAACTGAATTTCAATGATTTGATTTGATTTGTGATGCAGTTGGAAAATAATGGAATAACTATTGCAATAAATTCAAATATTTTGTGATGAGGATAATAATAATTATAACAACAGCAAAAATAATCATTAATAGCACAGTAAAATCTGTCTAAACCGGAAACGTGCCTAAATTTTCTCTGGCCCGTGAAGATGAAGGGCATTTTACCCAGCATAAAGCAGAACCTCTCCAACATGGAAACGGCACGGTTCTGCATGTCGTGCAGGGAGAAAAAAATCTTTTTAAAACATAATTCCTGTGAATTTAATGCAATTGACAGAGAGACACGAGATGTTCATAATGAAGTGAATGCATTTGTAAGCTTGTTTTAAATTCTCTATACCTGTGACGATTTAGTCATGACCACCGGACATTGAAGGAGAGGGGCTGTCAGCTTAGAATTCAACCTTGGGGTTGCTTGTCTCTCAAGGTGTAGGCCCTGTCTCCTGACTCTGTGTGTGGGAAGGCATTGCTTCTAATCTCGCATATCCCTGCCCCGTGTTGAAAATCATAACTCCTCAACCAGACACACATTGTTCAAGGCCATGTGAGTGTATCAGAAAGTCATAATATTAGGTTGTGACGTATTGTGCGTTGAAAGTCAGCAAGCAGTCTGAATACAACCAGTAAGGTGTGTATTTTTCAACTAAAAAGTTGTCAATGAGGCGTGTTTAATATTCATATATTGGTGATTTCTTCCAAAAAAATGTTATATTAATTTATTTTGATAATTATAATAAAGTCACGTAATTTATTACTTTCAGGGCAGAAACGGCAATATCACAAGTGTCATAAATTAGACAACCTTGCACAAGACGGAAACCTCACTGAACTCAAAATTTTTTGTGTCCCAGTCGATTCTTGTTTAGACAAATGTTACTGTAATTATAAAAATAAAAAAAACAACATGAAATAAAAAGTAAAGAAATGGTCAATTTGTGTGAAAAAAAACAACAACACACGTACAAAAATCAGTCTTAAACTCGATGTTTAAATTAAACATAGCAAAGAAATGAGTATGTGAAAATAAAATGCATTTGAAAAGGTGAATTGTCAAAGCAATATAATAAGATTTTCCAATTACCATCCATACACTTGTGATAAATATAATTGCTACCATTTCCTTGTTTTTAATACACTTTTTAAAGAGCAGAACTACATTTTAATGAAAAATTATTTTATTGTTAGTTCACTTAATTGATTTGAATATGTTACCAGGATAAAGCTGATGACTTGCTGTTGGGCATTAAATCCACTGCCATTAAGTTTGGAGATCACACTAAGCAATGGCTATCGGGATTTGCTTGCACAATGTTGGGAGGTCTTGTTCTTGCGGGCATCAGTAGCCAGCAAACCTGGCCATATTATGCTGCTGTTGGTGTAGCATCACTACACATTTCTAATCAGGTATGATAAGTTTCGGTCTAGAAAGAAAATTTACTTATTGAATTAGTGTTTATCTTATTGACTTTCCTTTGATGAGAGGGGAGAAAATTAGGATTTTATTAATTTCATAAGAAATTATATTGGATGAGAATTGAAAAGTTAGTGTGCTTTTACAAAAACTAGGATTAGCTGTAAAGGTTTACAAGAGAAAAGAGTATCTTATCAACACTAATTAAATTATGTATTGTGATATCCCTATTATTGCTACTACAGTAAAATCCCACTTTTACGTTCCTGCAATTTACGTTTTCCAGGCATTTACAATTCTTGTTGATCCCATTAGTTTCCGTATATTCATAATGTTATAAATAAACCCGAATTGACATAATATAGTATAATTAAGTAAAATTTTCCGATAGTATGATTTCAATTTTCCCGCAATTTACAAGTCTGCTTGGCACAAATCCATCTGGAACATGCATTGTTGCCAATGCTCATAGCCTAGCGGGAGTCGCGCATTGAAAGCTAGATTACGCGCGTATTTTTTACTTACGTTCTAGCTTGAGCTGTGGATACAACACACGTCAAGGTAGTTAGAGCGAGATGTGTCATGTTTAACATGCCTTTTATATTGTGATTGAAAGATCTGTAAGAGTTTGAATCGATTTTACCGTCTATTTTTCGCATAACGAGACCATAAAGTTTGAGGTTTTTACATGGGCTCTTATAGTGACCTGACAGATCTAACCAGAAATTTTAAAATTGTGAAAAAATTTACTGTTGAACTCTTCTCTTGGTAACCAGCATCTCGAAGAATCAATACGTGCAATTTGAAGAAAAAGTACCATTTTGAATGGAAGAATTTTGCAATATTATAAGCCTAAATCAGTCCAAAGGGCGCTTTCTAGAGGGTTCGCGTGCAATACACTTCATTTAAATTGAGTGACAAGACGTTCATTCCTCTGGATCTTCTGGCAGCAATTAAAATATCCTCACTCCTGGAGAACATTGCATTTGATAGTAACCAGATATTTAGAAAATCTGGATTTCGATGGGTATAATTATTAGTACGATATTAATGAAAATCTTAATTCAATTAATATTCCCAATGACTCACCTTGATATCTCTCTCTATGAGAAAATGGGGGATCTTGAGAGTTTTTAGAATTTTTTAAACATTCACTACAGTACTATTATTTTGTATTGTGTCGTATGTCAGTTTTTTGCTCGTGAACAGTGATTATTTATTCAATTATTCAAAAATTATGCATATCCTCTTTTTTATTATGGAGATACTCTGTGGATTGGCATTGTCTTTTGGATCACAGTTGCTAATACAGGACTCAAAGCAGCAATCTTTATCATATATCAGCACCTCAATCTGTAGAGCTACTATGTGGGCATTCAATTCAGAAAGAAATTGACTTTTTAGTGGCTTCAAATGTATTGCAATGATAAAATACTGTTTTGCTGGTGTTAATATTAACCATTCAAGGTGTAGGTGAATCCAGAGCTGGATTTCCTCCTAGCAAAATTAGGCTTGGGACTCCTATCCCTGTGCCCGTATTTTTTAAAAAAATATTAAAAACTTCATAAAATGTTTTTATCTGAATAATCATTAATCAAATAGTTCACTGAACTACAATGTTTGATTCTAAAAATAAATTGAATGGAACAATAAGAAACCAAACATGTATTTGTAAATGAGAAATTTAAAAAGCAATTTCTATTTTGTAAACAATTTATTAATTTACATCTGTCTTGAAACAATGATTTATTATATCGTAATTAGTGTTTTTTAGATTTATTCATAATTACTATTTTAGTTTTAAAGATTTTTCTTTTGTGCTTGAAGGTCTACAGTGTAAATCTGCTCATGGGCAAATTTAATAATTACATTTGTAATTAATAATTAAATTTTATTGAAATTGTAAGGGGAATGATGTTTTTAGCCTTTGGTAGTTTTAATATTTTAATAGAAACCCCTTTTCTCTTCAGCACTATATTTTATCTAATTTTCTGAGCAGTAGTAATGCATTTTGAACATTTCTCAAGTCTTATTTTCAAATCATTTAAATCTCTTTTCATTTTGAGTGAAATATCAAGACAATTATAAAGACTATGCCACTTGGAAATCTCATTTGAAGATTTTATCTCCAACTATGTTATAATTTTGTTATTGAAGGTCTCAATAATACTACTCCCAGAATTATGTGCAGTAATTTCATTTTATCAGCTTTAGTTTGATATGTACTTTATACAATAATCTGCATCTAAATAAATATCATAATATGATATAAAATTATACTGAAAACCAAATAGTTTCTATGAATTATAATCACACTGCTAGAAATAATATGGCACATTGCAATTGCAAAAATAGTTTTAAAATTTCAATCAAAACTTTAAAACATTAAACATTGATCATGCATTGAGCATCCAGGGATCGACAACAACACATTAATGTTTAAAAACATTTAATTTGACAGAAGCCAACAATGTAGAAATAGAATGATTTTTCAATCAATATAAAGTAATTGTTACTGATGGAAGAAGTAGGTTAAAAGAAGTCAACATTGAAATATGCTCTCAATTAATTTTCCACTGATTGTGTTATGTATTATATAGGTATTTATATAATTTGATTTCTTTTAACAAAATACGTGAAAAAAATGTTTTGTTGTTTTAATAAGGATTTACAAATCACCTCCTTTAGGATATAGTGTTATACAGAAATCCTGTACTTCTATACAAGAGAAGAATCATTTTAAGGATTTAAAATTGCTACTACAAATAGTTATGAACTTCACAAATGGCATAATTTTAAATTCATTTCCTTTATTTCCTGATTTTTATTGGAAATATCTAAAAAGTATCAAAATATTTTTTTTAATCTCAGAGAATTTAATTAGAATTTTATCAACAAATGATACAAAATGTCAAATCGTAATTATTATAATGCTATAAACTTCTGTAGCCTTGTTTTCAAAATGCAATTTAAAAAAATTTAAAGTGCTAAATTCTATCACTAACAATAGTTTATCCCCTTCTGCCTACTTCATCGAAATTCTAAACAAAACATTTTCTTCTTTTTTAACTCTTTTACTTGCTGTCTTTTAACACATTCTCTCTCTTACTACTTGTCTTTTGACACCTTACCTCTGTATTTGAGAAAACCCACTTCTCACTTTTTAAGCAAAATATATTTTCTATAAACAGTGATTGTTATTTAAAAGATATATTACTAGACAGAGATTTTTCTTTTTATTCATTTAATTCAGCCTTAGGAAATTCAAGTTGTAACAATATCATGGGCATGCAGTGTTACTCCATTTGAACTCCTGTTGGTATTATCATTTAGTAATATTTTACCTTTGTCATCATAATATATAATTTCTGCCATTAAATCTTACAAAAATAGAAGAAATGTTGAAGCAATATAAAATATGGTGATGTACTATCCATTAGTTAGGTCAAAAGTAAAACCTGTCTCTACTTTGCTAGCCAAAGGTTTTGTGCTGTGAAATGCTCTTGAGAACTGTCCAAGATTTACTGTGTCTTTGTTATGAATTGCAAACTACACCAAAGGAGAAACAAAGAATTTGTTTTCTTCTCCATTAAGAATAAATATGTTCAGTCTCCAATTTTGCTGTATTTTAGTACAGTAAAATCTGTCTAAGCCAGAATGGATTGAGAGGGGGGAAAATTCCAGTTTAGGGAGGTTTTCATTTTATGCAGCGTTGTCCTTTTTATGACTTCTGATATATTTCTGTCCCATCACTAGTAAATTACATGACTGTATTATAATTATTAAAGTATGATGATAATGGCAAGCCAATAACATGGTGTGGCATGTGTTGGCAAGTTTTCATGTCTTTTGAGGAGAATGAATTTTATCAAAGAAGGGTGAATGGGGAGCATGTGCTGACGGTAGCAGTAAAGAGCAGGGAACCAGAAGTTGGGTATTTTAGTAGGTTGCATGAAATGCATTGGATGTGTGAAAAGTTTGGAAAGACAAGCCCAGCTGGAAGGAATGGATTGGCAAGCAGACGGCCACTCTTATCACCTAAAGGAAAGTGAATAATTATTAAAGTATATTATCATATAATGAATTGTGGAAGAAATCACCAATAAATGAATATTAAGCATACTTCATTTACAGCTTCTAAGTTTCTCTTCTCCTATAAATTTGACCTTTTCATCTAAGGTTAGAAGTTTGTTTTCTTCCAACCATTGATAACTGGTTGCGAAATTCATGAAAATACACACTACGCTACCTCACTTGCTGCCTAGTGGCTGCAGTCAGACTGCATGCTTACTCAACGCACAATGTGACACAGCCCAAGTACTATGACTTTGTGATACCCTTGCATGGGCTTAAGCAAAGGGGTCTCTAGCCAAGGGTTTATGATTTTCATCCCAGGGCAAGGAGACGCATGAATAGAAGAGAGCAATTCACTTTCTTGCGTAATGGGAATCGGGAGGGAGAGAATTTCCCTATGCTCTTAAGCCTTGAGAGGCAAGCAAATATCAAGGTCAAATTCTTCGCTGGTAGCTGAAACCCCTCCTTTATTTTGTGACTGCCATGTCTAAATTGCTTGTCACAGGGAGAGAGAATTTAAAGCACACTTGCAGGTGCATTCATTTCGTGAAGTTTCTCACATATCTCTGCCAACTGCATTAAATTCACAAGAATTCCACATTGTAACTTTTTTTCTCCCTTTAGGGCATGAAGAACCATTATGTTTCCACATTGGACAGGTTCTGTTTTATGCTATGCAAAATGCTGTTTAACTTCATGGTCCAGAGAAATTTGCTTCTTAAGGCTGGTTTCCAGATTGTAGAGGTTCCAGTTTAGACAGACTTTACTGTAGTATAATTCCTTTACAAAATTTTCTCTAAATTGAAGAGTCTTTTCACATCAGATAGGAATGATCTGATGTTCTTGTAAAACTAGCCAAGACCTGAAGGAAATAAATCAATTCGCAAACTTCTGTAACTATTGAATCAAAACCATTTTTCTAGATCAGTGAGTTTCTTACTAGAAAATGTTTTTTAATTATATTATTCTATTTGTGAGTGTGGTAAACATTTGTTAAACATGTTAGTTCATTTTGATATTCATTTCATTATCCCTGTATGTGCAGGATGCATGACATTCAAATATATAAAAAATGAATTTATTTGCATGTAAAGAATTTTTTTACATTGTGTTGCTTCGTTATTCTTGGCCATAACCATTATTTTGGGGGAAAGTGTTTTATTTAATGTACATTTAATGTTTCAGATCCTGACATTGGATGTCAATAATCCATCTGATTGCAGCAGCAAATTTGTCTCGAATAAACATGTAGGTCTGTTACTGTTTTGTGGCATTGTTGCTAGTTATCTGCTGAAGTTAAATGAAAATAAAAGTCGCAAGGAATCCGGTAATATTAGTGAGACAAAGGTACAATTGAATGTATGTTAGATTGTGAGTGCTGTAGATTTGCTACAACCAAAGTATTGTCTAGTAATGACTAAAACATGAACAGAAATAATTGTTGTCTGTGATTCTTAATGTTTGTTTTTGATGTCTCTTTTATGTTTGTGAACATGTTTTGAGAAATAAATATTCAATATAAATATTGTTAATTGTATTATCATTTTCTTCGAATGCAAGCAATTGTTTGGTAGTACTTTAAACCCTGAAGTCAAGTGTCGAACAATAAAATTGTTAGATTTTTACTTTCTCTTATACGTACGTATATATAAGTTTAGAGAAAGTTATGTAATGCTGTGGAAAATCAATGTCGAGATTTTAATGGAAATACAGGTTTTTTAGTCGCCAGATACCAATAAAGTGAGTTTAGTGGTTAGTGGTTAAAAGGTAACTTCAGTTTGTCCGTCCGTCCATGAACACAACTATTACTTGGACCATATGTAGGATTTCTTCCAAAATGAAGAAACCATTGTCAGTCTGGCTTGAGTAGAAGCTTTGATATTTTGGAAAACATACTTTAAATTTGGGGGGACTTTACATTAACCCCCTGCAACCTTTTCAAAATTTTCTCAAAAACAGCTACAAATTATTTCTTCAAATTTTTTGTAAGAATAGAGTAAAATACACTTATAAAGGTGGCATAGGCACGATTTTCAGGGCTAACTCTCAATTTTCGAAAATTGCAAAAGTTTGATTTTTTTCTCTCATCTTCCTACAATTACATAATGCAAGATAGGGATTTTTAAGTTAAGTCAAAAGACCAGCCTAGCAGTAACGTCAGTACTTCATTAGGCAACACCTTTTATTACTGTGAAATTAAAAATCTAATGACATTATCAAAAAATTCTGCAGTCGGACCAAACAACATCTTAAACTTTTTTTAAGTAACTTCTTGATAAAGAATACCTAACATCACTATCTGAAAAATGGAACAATTTCAAACAAACAAAATATGGCAAACTGCAACTGTGATTCCTATTCTCAAAACCCAGTAAACACAACAGCAAATTGGAAAGCCACCGCCCCATTGCACTCACCTGCCCAATGTGCAAGATAATGGAAAAGCTTATTAAAAAAAAATATTATTATGGCATCACCATTACATGCAGTGAGAAATACGTTGTAACAACTCAAGATATAATACAATCAACAATAAATAAGATGAATGATTGGGCCAACACCTCTGGATTCATTGTATCAAAAGCAAATCTGAATATATCATTTTTAATGGAACCAACAAACCCACTAGAATAATTAATCTGAAACTAAATAATGTTGAATTCAGGAAATCTATGTTAGTTAAAATCTTGGTTTTAAACTTTGATGAGAAACTTACATGGAAAACTCATATTAAAGTAGCGAAAGCTGAATGTCTCAAGAGATTAAATATCATTAAAATGATCTCATCAAACAACTGAGATGCTGACATGAAGGTAATACTAAATACCTATTGAGCCATTATAAGATATAAAATAGATTACGGTTCAGTTATACTCTTCTTCAAAAAACAAGAAAGAAAGAAGACATGAAATGTTGTGATATGATCCTTGAAAACTTTTTGTTCGAACACAATTTTTAATTAATCAGTATTTCAGAAACTAAATGTAAATAATCTTGTTAACGAAAATGTTCTCTAAATTTGTGTTCTACAAACTTTGTGAATAGTCGTGGAATTTTAAGAAAATTGTGTATTTATGGGTGCGGGGAATATAGTTTTTAAGCTGAAAATGCTTTATATTTTAAATTTAAAAAATATTATTGCAATAACAAAAATTATTTTGATTATTATTCGGATATATAGATTAGATTCAAGATTTATAAGTGTGATAGTTAGCCATATATAAATCTGCAAATAAGATCAAATTTTCTTACAAATATTATTACAAATACTGTACATAAGAGCAGTGAAAGATGTGCAAATCACTCCCACATTCTTCAAAATGTTTCTAACATCTGGAGAAATGGAGGTGAACTTTCATGAATTTGGGAATTTCAATCAGAACAGATAAACTGTTCACTTTGCTTTTTGCTGACAACCAATTGATATGGCAAAAGTTGAAGATTATATGCATTACATAATGAGGAAGCTGTTTGAAGAATACCAGAAATGGGGGCTAGCAATAAATATCTCTAAAACTGAATATATTGTAGCTGACAATGTAAATAGAAAATTGGTGCTACAAGGTGGTATTATCAAAGGAGTTAGATTTAAGTACCCTGGAGTGACATTTACCAAGTGTGGTGAAAGTGAAGCTGAAATTATTGAAAGAATAAGAAAAGGAAAACAAGTTACAAAACAGCTGCACAATACATTATGGAGCATACAAATAAGACTTTGCACGAAGATAAAGTCTGTTGTAGAGAGAGCATTGTCACCTTTGGAGCAGAAGGGTGGACAACAACAGAGCAACTAAAGAAAAAATTAAGAGCAACCAGACTGAACATAGGAACTGCAATTTTAGACACTAGAGGCAAAATGTCTGCGATGGTATGGGCATGTGTGTCTAATGGATGAGGGAAGGTGCCATAAAAAATTTTTGCATGAACCCCATCTGAAAGAAGTAGAAGAGGGGGATCACGGAGACACTGAAAGGATGCAGTATCTTAAGCAATGGAAGGAAGAAACTTGCAAGAAAATGACTGGAAAGCTCATAGCAAATGGAAGCTAGGCTCTGATAAATGACTTTAGGTTGTAATATATTGCAAAAATAATTAAAAATAATAATAAATTTTAAATTACCATACAGTTTTGGATTGATGCACAAGCTTATGTGGTTGTGTGAATCTTCCTGCAAAGAAAATATCATTAAGTCAGTTCCTAGCATGGAGACTTTCATATTTTTATTAAATTATTAATAAACCTAATTTCTTAATAAAAGTAGCCATTTGTTTTATTTTGCTTTTAAACAGTATTGGAAAAGTAACAATATTGATGTCTGCTACCTAATTTTTATTACTAGAAAAAAAATATGTTCAAAAAAGAGATGGAAAGAATTTTATTATTTGTTTTGTATAACTAATTTTATCATATTTACCCAACTCTAAGACAACCACGAAAATTTCAAGAGACCTGGATTTTTTTTCTTTTTTAACTAGTTATTTATTATAGTCACAACAAAGTCGCAAATTATCTTATTGATAAAAAAAATTGACACGATAAGATGATCAATCTTTTTCCTGAGATCTTCCTTACTTCACTAATATTTACACTTATTTTGAAATCAATCACTGAATGTTCATGCAAAACAAATTGTGAATAAAGAATTGAAAGAAAAAAATGATTCTCAGGTTGCATTGCACTGACAACAATGCCATATAGTTGAGAACATCTCGTTACTGGCCCTCTCAACATAAAAGTTCTGAATGACAAGAATACATCCGCAAGTATATTAGTTAGGACGGATAGGCAGGGTATTTTTTTTTATCACCTATGCTGCTTATTATTACATTAGAGTTGAAGTTTCTTGACATAGAATGGAAATATAAAAACATAGAATGGCTGAGGCTTATTATGGACATATAAGAATCCTCGTATTTTTTTAATGAAATATTGAGGAAGAAACTTTATCTTATATTTGGGTAAATATGGAACTTTCATGTTTGTTTGTTTCTTTGTTGTTTTTTCTCCCTTTCTTGATAGAAATTCAGTTTTATGAAAGAGCTTCTTATGCAATGATTTTGATTATTTTATGTGGATGGTATTAACTGAACAAAAATTATTTTTTTATTGAATTTTGTAAATTTTCAAAACTTTCTCATAAGTGCATTTTTTGATGCAATGAATTATGTTCATTGTGATACATAAAACTGATTTGTGATGGAACAGAGTATGTAAGCCATTTTTTTTAAATTACATCCTTTCTATGGGAATAAAATGCTGTGTTCAGTTCATTGTTTCATGTATAGTGAAACCTGCTCAAATAGCCACCTTGATTAAAGGCCGCCTCCTCCAATAACCATTCTTTCATGGTTCTTTGCAACTTGTGTAAATATTGCTTTAGCTAAGATCATTTTGTAGATTGCACTTTCCACAGTTGTTTAATAGCAGTCACCTCTAGCAATTTTGAACTGTAATTACAAGAAGCGGAAATGTGGTGATTTAATGTCTTTCAATGACGGGACACATGGTCAGATTACTTTGAATCATGACATCCAGAGGTGCTTCTCTCACAGTTAGACACTTTCCGTTTCAGGTGATGACTAATCTTATATATAAAAATCAATGTTTGTTCGTCATTCATCTGATTGCGATAAAACTTTGTCAACTTATTGCTTGCACTTGTGGGAAGGCATAGTACATAGGCATAGTACAATTATTGTAACTAACTCTGCTAGATGGTGCTGCAGCCCAAAATGGCACTTCATTTAAATGCAATTCCCAATACACCTGAAAATCATTATTGCTGCTCTGTGTGACGTTGGCCAAGGCAGAGAAGGACAGGAGAACCGTGCAGTGCAAGAATGAGAGAGGAGAGGAATAAAGACAAGAGATAGGGAAAGGGAAAAGAGAGAGAGAGAGAGAGAGTGAAAAAAAACGAAAAAAGTGGGAAAAGGAGAGAGAGGTTCTTAGTTAACTCTTAAATAAGAAGAAAAAGAAGATAACTCTTGCAAATTTCAAACAATACTTCCACAATTATTTTTTATGTGGCAGCAACGCACTGTGTAAGCTAGTGATTTTAATAAATATTTCTTATTGATATTACCATGCATTCACTTTTCCCATTTCACAGCATTCCTGATTTGCTATCATGCTTTCCTTCTGTGGGAATCTCTTAAAGAAATCATGAAGTACACCGCAGGTGCGAATTCAATCTGAAGGTCATTCACTAACTCCTTTGTCAGACGGACCTGCTGTAAAGTTTCAGCAGGATATGAATTGCATCTTCAAGTCTAGTTTGTATGTTTGATTTGGTGATATTCTTAATTAAGAGAATAAGTACAAGTCAAGGGTGTGGGTGGTGAGAGGACGTAAATGATCCAAAATACGTTATTTAAATTGTATTTTGTTTTATATGATAATTAAATTGTTAAAAATAAAATACTTCATTATACAGCAATTAGCAGAATTAGATTTGATTAATGCTTTCAGTAAACCCATAACCTTTATTATTTGGCTATCTCTATTAATGACATTTCTACCAGAATCAATGGT